GTCTCTCGTCCCTCTCAAAGTGTCCCTCCCCATTTGTTTTATTAGTATTTATAGTATTACATGTCGCTATATTTAGCGCAGTGGCATGAGGAGAGTTTTTGCGTATAAAACAGGTTCTCGGCGGACTTTATGTTCTTATTACATCTATTAGAACTGTTTAATAAAGGCTAAATAAATCAAACACCATGGATTGTGTAAAATTTTGAGAATACCGAACATGAAAACATGAATATATACATGTATGTGACTTCACTTCTGCATATACTTCACGCTAAGCAAAGCGATTCCGTGGTCTAGTGGTTATGCCTCTCGCTTCATGTGTAAGAAGACCCGGGATCGAATCTCGGTCGAACCTTTCTTTTTTTTCTTTTTTTTTTAATACTTTTTTTTTTACTAAATGATAGTATTCAGCATGTGAAATGAAAAATTTATGAGGCTATAAAATCATCATTACAGTGTGATAAAAATTCCATATAAAAAAATCCTCTATACACATAATGAAGTATAAGCAATCAAATCTTTATATGCATATTGACATACATGTATTTTATTTGCTTCAGTATACATGTATACATTTAATAATTCTACAAATTCAGTCAGGGGGAGCCGACTTTTTCCCTAAGCGGGGGACACGAATTCTCTGAATTAGCTTGTTTATTAAGAAGATCAGCCGAATTATTTTGTGTATTAAAACGCCAGTGATAATTCAGAAAATTCCCTACTTTCACTTTAATTTCTGGAGGTTCTGCCGGAAAACGAATCTGACATGCCACCTTCAATTCGAGCATGTCTGCACTGTACAGGTCTGATGTTTCTTATTAGATGATAAATCATGTGTAAACTTTCTCAGTTTAGCGGAATCATGAACATTTTCGGCGAGATGAATGTTTTGTTTACAGTAGTGATCAAGGCTTAGCGCACCTGTATAGGAGCGGATCCAAAGATTTATGAATGAATAAAAACTATGGAAATAACGTACCAATTTTCTAATTTATTCTTGCACTATTTAATGAAATTAATAATATACGAGTAATAGATATACCAAACAAAGCGAAATGCTAATAAATGAAGTTGACAATCGTTATTTTTTATATAGAAAAAACAAAATAATCATAAAATCTAGAGACAAGACAGAAGAAGAATGACTGTTGGCAAACTATCAAATCACATCAGGAGAACTGAATTTTATGAATGAAACTTTTAAAACGTTACCTGTAAATTGTATATGTTATATCTGTGTATTCTACCTGGCAGTGCGCTTCAAAAAAAGGGGGGGGTGTCTTGAACATAGTACCTTACGTTTGAACAGTAAGGGCTAGGGCTTTCGTATTTCAAATATGTAATCCTTGTGAAAAGAACTTTTATTGGACACCAAGAACTTTGACCCTTTGACCTAGACCTTGGAGAACACATGTGTACATCTGAATCTTTTTTTCTGTTTCGTTTCTATGGCAACTGTGAGCAACTCATTACAATTTTTTTAAAAGTAGAAATCACTTTGACACATTGCAAGGAATAAACACTGAAAGTTTCAAAACGATTGCCTGCGTAGTTATTGAGTAAATCGAAATTAAAGAATTTTAACTTTCACCTGGTTTCCATGGCAATAATCGATTATTTGAAAATTTTAAATGCGAGTTGCACAACTACAGATACTAATCATTAAAATAAGAAAAGTTTCATGACGAACGTTTAAGGGACCAGAGAGAACACTCTCGGACAAAATTTGTCGCTTTTTACAGGTTTCCATGGCAACGGTAGACATATTGGAACTGAACAACCTCACTGCACAACTACAACCAGCGATCGTCATTTGAGGAAAGTTTCAGGAAGATTGTCCCAGCCATCTCCGAGAAACAGCCTGGATAAAAAAAACATGCGTACAATATCAATATGTCGTCCCCGACTTCGTTCGGGGCGACATAATAACTCCTGAATTTTTCCCATCAATAACTCCTGAATTTTCCCCTTCAATTCGAGCATCTCTGCACTGTACAGGTCTGATGTTTCTTATTAGATGATAAATCATGTGTAAACTTTCTCAGTTTAGCGGAATCATGAACATTTTCGGCGAGATGAATGTTTTGTTTACAGTAGTGATCAAGGCTTAGCGCACCTGTATAGGAGCGGATCCAAAGATTTATGAATGAATAAAAACTATGGAAATAACGTACCAATTTTCTAATTTATTCTTGCACTATTTAATGAAATTAATAATATACGAGTAATAGATATACCAAACAAAGCGAAATGCTAATAAATGAAGTTGACAATCGTTATTTTTTATATAGAAAAAACAAAATAATCATAAAATCTAGAGACAAGACAGAAGAAGAATGACTGTTGGCAAACTATCAAATCACATCAGGAGAACTGAATTTTATGAATGAAACTTTTAAAACGTTACCTGTAAATTGTATATGTTATATCTGTGTATTCTACCTGGCAGTGCGCTTCAAAAAAAGGGGGGGGTGTCTTGAACATAGTACCTTACGTTTGAACAGTAAGGGCTAGGGCTTTCGTATTTCAAATATGTAATCCTTGTGAAAAGAACTTTTATTGGACACCAAGAACTTTGACCCTTTGACCTAGACCTTGGAGAACACATGTGTACATCTGAATCTTTTTTTCTGTTTCGTTTCTATGGCAACTGTGAGCGACTCATTACAATTTTTTTAAAAGTAGAAATCACTTTGACACATTGCAAGGAATAAACACTGAAAGTTTCAAAACGATTGCCTGCGTAGTTATTGAGTAAATCGAAATTAAAGAATTTTAACTTTCACCTGGTTTCCATGGCAATAATCGATTATTTGAAAATTTTAAATGCGAGTTGCATAACTACAGATACTAATCATTAAAATAAGAAAAGTTTCATGACGAACGTTTAAGGGACCAGAGAGAACACTCTCGGACAAAATTTGTCGCTTTTTACAGGTTTCCATGGCAACGGTAGACATATTGGAACTGAACAACCTCACTGCACAACTACAACCAGCGATCGTCATTTGAGGAAAGTTTCAGGAAGATTGTCCCAGCCATCTCCGAGAAACAGCCTGGATAAAAAAAACATGCGTACAATATCAATATGTCGTCCCCGACTTCGTTCGGGGCGACATAATAAAGGTAAAAAAGAAACCGAAGAATAATAGAAGGGTCTTCCGCTGAAGACGGAAGACCCTAATAATAACTAGAAAGTCTGCTATTGCAAGCAATAGCATATGTCGCCCCGTATTAGACAAGACTTTCATTTTTATCATCACTAAAACAAAAGTCCATAAGCTAAGTTTGAAAACCTTTGAGTTATATCAGTCCTTTCCATTGGAAACGGAAGACCTTAATTCGGTACATCCCTCTCATTATTTTTAGAATCGGTAGGAGAAGAAAGTAGTGCAGGAAAATTACAAGTTCCTCAATTTGCAGACTTGCATAAACGAAATCTGGCAGATGTACTGAACTGAGCCTCATACTTGTTAATTGGCAGTATCTTTCCTATCATAAAAGCTTGGGAAATGTAATTTATGAAGAAGATCAGCCGAATTATTTTGTGTATTGTAACGCCAGTTGGAACTCTGAAATTTCCCTCTTTCACTTTCATTTTAGAGGTTCTACCGAAAAACGAATCTGACATGCCACCATCAATTCGAGCATTTCTGCATTGCAGAGAGCTGATGTGTGTTATGAGATGATAAATCATGTGTGAACTTTCTCAGTTTAGCGGAATCATGAACATTTTCGGGGAGATGAATGTTTTGTATACAGTGGTGATCAAGGCTTTGCGAACCATCAGGAGCGGATCAAAGAATTTATGAATGAATAAAAACTATGGAAATGACGTACCAATTTTTTAATTTATACTTGCACTATCTAATGAAATGAATAATATACAAGTGATAGATATACAAGAAAACGCGAAATGATAATAAATGCAGCTGACAATCGTTATTTTTTTTTATATAGATAAAATAAAATATTTATAAATTCAAGAGACAAAACAGAAGGAGAATGAATGATGGCAAAATATCACATGACGGGAACTGAATTTTATGAATGAAGATTTTAAAAAGTTACTTGTAAGTTGTATATGTTATATCTGTGTATTCTACTTGGCTGTGTGCTTCAATAAAAGGGGGGGGGGGGTCGTCTTGAACATAGTAAATAGCCATAACGTTTGAACGGTAAGTACTAGGGCTTTCGTATTTCAAATATGTAATCCTTGTGAAAAGAACTTTTATTGGATACGACGAACTTTGACCCTTTGACCTAGACCTTGGAGAACACATGTGTACATCTGAATCTTTTTTTCTGTTTCGTTTCTATGGCAACCGTGAGCGACTCATTACAATTATTTTGAAAGTAGAAATCACTTTGACACATTGCAAGGAATAAACATTGAAAGTTTCAAAACGATTGCCTGAGTAGTTATTGAGAAAATCGAAATTAAAGAATTTTTACTTTCACCTGGTTTCCATGGCAATAATCGATTATATGAAAATTTTAAATACGAGTTGCAGAACTACAGATACTAATCCTTAAAATAAGAAAAGTTTCATGACGAACGTTTAAGGGACCAGAGAGAACACTCTCGGACAAAATTTGTCGCTTTTTACAGGTTTCCATGGCAACGGTAGACATATTGGAACTGAACGACCTCACTGCACAACTACAACCAGTGATCGTCCTTTGAGGAAAGTTTCAGGAAGATTGTCCCAGCCATCTCCGAGAAACAGCCTGGATAAAAAAAACATGCGTACAATATCAATATGTCGTCCCCGACTTCGTTCGGGGCGACATAATAATAAGAAACAGAGTAAAAACAATATGTTCCCCAACTTCGTTTGGGGAACATAATAATAATAAGAAACAGAGTAAAAACAATATGTTCCCAAACTCTGTTTGGGGAACATAATAATAATAAGAAACAGAGTAAAAACAATATGTTCCCCAACTTCGTTTGGGGAACATAATCAATAACCCTGCATTTCCTTCTATTTCTACAGAAGTTCCGAACAGAATCAGTACATTGAAAAGAGCGTTTTTATTGGGGATTCCCCAAACACTGGGTCCCCTACAGTGATTACCAATGGGGGATCGTCCAAAACTTATCCAAGATCTGTCCCATTAGAGTTTGCGTGAGTACATAACTATACTTTGCAAAAAATTGTTTTGGGACCAGTATTTTTAATTATATAAATCTTTGTTCATTTAAACTATGATTTAATACATTGAAAACTGTTTTAAAATTTAGTGACCAACCTCGCCAAGGGTTTGTGTTTTATCATGGCCCTGTTTTTGTCGATGACACGTTTTTCGGAGACTTTGAGGATACGGATAATTATAGATCTGGTGCTCTTGGTTTTCAACGGGATAACGCTGGTCATAGTTCCCCTATAAGCGCTGTCAGCAGAATCAAATTTGGCTTCTCAGATGTAAGCTTTATAACTGACTTTGTTTGGATAAAATCTATAATGTTGTTTTTACAAAGATATTAGATTTTAAAAGAAGTAGCATTTATATTCCATCAAACTGTAAAATACTTAGTTATAGAAATAAGTAAAAAACTATGATCAAATATTGTTTTCAAAGCCATCCGAGGGTAACCGAGTATTCGATGGGAACGCTACAGACAATGGCTTCTCTGGACTGGACGGTGATTTGATCGGAACCTTTCGGGATTCTGATGGGTCCGTGTTTTCCGCCGGATCTCAGATTGTTAAGGATCTTCCATTCCATTCGACCTCAAATTGTTACCAGAGGTCCAACTGGAAAATGATGGCGTGTACAAATACCTTCGGTCAAGTAATTATCTGATTCTTTATTATAGGAATTAAAGAAGTTTATCTAGTTGAGTGAATAAAGGACATTTTTTTAAATTTGAAAGTAAACATTCCCTTGAATTGTTGAAGAATTTGTCATTAAATGTATAGTATATAAGGAGGAAAAAACATACTTTATTCTTATTACTGAAAGACATTATTATCCATTTTGTCAATGATAGGTACGTCTGTCGTGGAATTATAAAGTTAACGGAGTAGCTAATGACGTCTCCATTTATCGGGACGACCTTCCAGATAACCCAATTGAGTCAGACGCAAAGAAAAATGCTCCATTCATGGCCATTTTGGGAGAAGGATATGGTTATTTAGCAAAATGCCTTCATCGGTTGCCTTTAAAGGACTTGGTTTCACTAAGTTAGTATTGTTTTTTCTGTGTTTTTTTTTAAATATAAATTCCGAATATGTCTACAAGGGTTTTTAAAAAAATATATTTATATATATATCCTGCTTCTTTTTGTATGTTGGATGTTCTCCTTTCCATTCAACTGAATTAACTTTTGAATGTTTCATATTTTAGAACAAAAACTGCACGGATTGGGCTCTGTGTTCCCAGGGATGCTACAATAAGTATAAAAGTACAAAATCTCACATCAACGAGTAATTGGGACACATGGGTAAAAGGAGAGTCCATGACAACTATCGATGACCTTGACTCCAGTACAAATGCGAACAATTACTTTCTAGATTCAGATGTTGGGTAATAAATTTATACAATTTGAAGCTCAATAATTATCCTTAATATTCGAATAACTCAGATTCTTAGCTTTTGGAATATATATACATTTCAGAAAACAGTTTTTACACATAATTTCTACGATTTTTTTGTCAGGGTTCTATTTTTCAATATGATGCATGCAAGGGAATACGTCACCTCAGATGTGCAGGATTGTCTTGATGATCGATGCCCTATTGTGATGGTGAAGATAACTGGAGGAGATTCCTCCGATTCGGACTGCACCTCCCGAGCGTTCGAGAAATACAAGCAAGAATCACGTGACTCCTCCCCCGTATGTATTATTTGTCAGACGTTCCTTTTTCACGCAGTCGACTGCGTGGCGCATAGGTTAGCGCGTCTGCTCTAGAGTGGAAGGAAGTCCATCCTTACCTCGCGGTTTCTAATTCCACTGTGGGACGTGGAGACCTATCCTTCGGATGAGACTTTATAAACTGAAGTCCCGTGTCGCAGTAGGCGTTGGCACGAAAAAAGATCCTTCACTGCTCAATGACTTTAAGTGCCGAGCATAGGACGAAATTTGTAGCTCTCCACCGGCAAGTGGTGGCGCCTCCATATAAAAGAAAATTCTCGAGAGAGACGTTAAACAACACACAACCAATCAATCTTTTTCACGCAGAAGAATTTAGGATGACAGTCGAATACAGAATTGCCAATCAGTTGACTGTAAAGAGTTCCGACTGATTAATCGGTTAATTATATAAAAAGATCTCTTTTATTTATAAATGAAAGTTATACTTATATACACATAAGAATGACTATAAGTATATCATATATAATTTCGATTTAACTGTGAGAGACAAACAAAGTTTTTGATTTCTATTTTAAGGAGACCGAAATTACTGCCTTACCAACAAGTGATCTTTATCCCCCTACCGTGAGTACTGTTATTTGATTAAGGACAGATGATACAAACACACTTTTGTCAAAATTTTTGAAAATAACAACTTGGTTCATGTTTAAATAAATAAAATGAATAAGTTTCACCGCGTAGGTTTTAATTTTTTATTCAAAGTTGCACAAAAATGGAATTTGAAGCGAAAAATATTTGTAAAGAATAATAAGGATGGTTTCAGAAGGGCAAAATTTTGAACACCACAGAAGGTTTACAACTTCTTCATATTCAAGAAATTTATTATTTTCATCATTTGCTATGAAATTAGGTCAAAAAATATATACTAATCCTGGCATCAATTTTTTGTTTGTATGATCTGTCCTTAAACTAACACTCAAGTTTTAAAATTTAAAAAAATCAGTTTTGTGAATGTACTTTTAATATTTTCTTAAATTTTCTATGGACCTTAATTTTTCAATAAAATTCTTAAAAAATATAATGAATAAATAAATTATTATCTAAGAATAAAATACATATTCCTGCATAAAAGTATTTGAAGGTTTGAAAATTGAACTTGTTTAATTTTATTTTTGTTTTAGTCCTGGGGTGCTGGCTCGTCCCGTGATTAAAAGAAGAAATAACCCCATACTACTATGTAATGAATGCTCTCTCTGAAATGTAATTAAAATAAAATTATTTGAAATAGAACATGTTAGTTATATCTTCTGTTTCAAATCATAATTCTAAGATTTGGAATGCTTGTATTTTACATTGTTTTTACAAACTGAAAAGAAGATGCAGAAGCATTATAGAAATATAACATTTTATTCTTTACATGTATGCTGTGTGTTTTCACTTTTTTAAATATATATAGATAAAAAGGGATATACTATGTACATCTGGGATTTGGAAAAAATGTCAAAAGATATCAACTATGAATTCTTTACGATCACAAAATTATATGTAAAACGAAAACATGGATTTAAGGCAATTAAAACCGGACAAATTTGGATGTATTCGCTTCGACAAAAGAATTGACCTATAGGAGAGAACAATTTCCCGGAAAAAGTTACATTTTAATATTAATCTTTATTTGTTATTTTCTATCGTACATTTGTCTAAATTTTTCAAATTTGTATTTTATACCTAAAATTTATTATTTACAACTTTACAATAAACCTTCAAAGTTGGCTGAAACACCATTTTGTCCGATAAAGTGTTGATTTTTGCATGAATTTTGGCCTAGAAGTCCTTCAGGGCAGGCCTGCCCCTAAATAAAATTGTGATATTTTGATAGGTTTGGATGTAAGGATGAATTTAAGATAGGATTTTTTTAGGGACACCCCTGCCCTAAGGTCGAAATTCATAAAAAACCTACAAAAAATAAGGAAACCTGATTTGATAATCTGCTTCAAATTTATACCAAATGTTGTCATAGACAGACTAGCTCAGTTGATATGTGAGTTGGTTTTACTCCATGAAGTGCTTCTTTTTAAAGTCGCGGGTTCGAATCCACCTGGCACGACACTTTTAAAGTTTTCAATTTCGCCTTTTCAAAGACAATTTATTTTTTTTTAATAGACTTATGTATTTTCCTTCAATTATCTATAATTTATGCACGTCCATTCTTGATACAAGGAAAACTAAAGAGATGTCAAATTGTAACAATCATATGTACAGTTGTCAGTCAGGCGGAACAAACCTCACTATAAGCACACTTTCTCCGAGGACAAGAGTAAAGGCCGGTATACTCGATGAAATTTGTAGTATAATACAAGTATTATAATACTTTTGTATTATATTACTTTCTTGTACACACGCTAATACACATCTTACAAGATTGTAAATAAACTATTATTCCCACGTGTTTTCTCCTGTCATATTTCTCTCTCTGTCAAAATAATAAAAATTATAATAATAAGCTCTGCTTCTAGCATCTTTTTTGTGGTAGCTACAGCTTGATATATTCCACAAGTCCTCTTGCCCTTCCCATTAAACTACGAGTTTTTCGATATCTTAACTCGAAAAGTCGACCATTATTTTTTACCATGTGCTTTATTTAGTAATTTTTTAAATAGGATGACCCCCAATGTGAGTACATTTAATTGGTTGAAAGTGAAAGGTGAGTTAAGACTTGTATTAGGAAATAGAGCATTGCTCTATTCTTAATACAGTTATATAAGATTAGAAAAATCTTATGATACACTGTATTTAGAGTGTATACACAGTAAGATTTTGTATTATAATACAAATTTTATAATAATAATCTTACCGTGTATACCGGCCTTAACTCACTCTGTGTTATTTGATACAGGTATTCTTGACAGCATTGAGCTGCGTCGAATTTCAATTGTATATATTCCTTAGAATTTAATCACATTGATATTGGCTACATATATCAGTAACTGTACTTCCTTGGATTTCATTTAGGCCTATATAATTTGCACACATTCATGACGTGTTTTATTATATTTGGGGATAAATAGCCTAGACATAGAGAATAGAATTTTAGAGACAATAGACATTACCATTATGCACAATGAGAAGTAAAGACAAATATCAATGTTACATTTAAAGATAACAAACTCAGAAAATCAATGAAAAGGTTTCTTCTACCTCTACTCACTGAAATAAAGATTTAGGAAAAACAAATTGTTAAATGTATTCGGCTTAATGTCATTAATCAGAACGGAAATCGACAAGCTTTTTGTAGAGAAAAAAACCAAGCCCGGTCCTATAGGTCAGATCCCTATTTATAATGAAGTGATCCTTAGACCTACCCCACAATCTACTAAAGATTTTAATATAGAACTGGTTTATAGGAACTTACAATAATTTCCCTGTTAAGGATAAAAACGGACACAGAGTTGAGTAGGAAAAAGCAAACTCTCACGGCAATAAACAATTACCTACATATAGTAGAAAGAACATATTAAACACACACAAACAGGGAAAAATAAAACACTTGTTTTTGACTGTGAAATATGTTATTGAGGTACAAACTAAGGTAATTGCAGACATAAATACTGTAGAAGTACTTTTTTCCGCGTGGTATTAATTTACACTATGTATGTAAATGGAAATTTTTCCAAGCGTACTTAATATAAAGGTAATGCATATAGTGACTATCTAGAAAAGTAATTTTCTACCCGCGAATTAAACAGAAATTGAGATTCCGCGGAATTATGACCCCGTGGAAAAAAGTACGTGTACAGTAAATAAATCTGGCATATTAATTCTAAATTAATGTACGGATTATTTATAGCGAGCGTAGCGATGGCGTCAAAGCGCCGCTATCCTTGCGAGCTCAATAGACAACGTGTAGGAACGGAAAGATTTTTATCGTACCAAGAAAAATATTATAATAATCCTTTGCGGTGCATAGCAACATGATTGCTTAATAGCAACACCTTACTTGAAAGTAAAAAAACCCAACAATTAAACAGCGATTTTATGTAATATGCATCCACAAACTATCGTTTGCTTCCTAAGGCAACAGGACTTTTTTTGACTCTAAAAAGGTCTGCCACTTAACAGGCCGAGTATAATTATTTCTGTTATTTTGATAATTTTTTGATAATTATTTTTTAATATTATATTTATTTTTTCAAGATTAAAAAAATCAAATGTTTACCGATGCAGGGTCGCAATTAGCATGTAGAAGTGACAGGTGGCCAAACCTTGTGATTGATTTTTTGGCCCCAGAGTTTGTAAATGTATTATAATATTAAAAAAAACCACAAAACCTATTTATAGAAGTTCAGACAGAAAGTTTACAATATGGTTTTGATGTTATATATCTAATAAAATGTTCAATAAATTTTACAAAATGAAGATTATTGATTTTTAATTAGTTTGTTTTTACATTAAAAGTTATAGAACATTAGAGCGTTTTCTGTACAGATTAATGAACTAAGGGTTTAACTTCTACTATTCCTCAAAAACATGATGCCCCATAAGCTTCCTCCTGCCTTTGTTTCTATATGATCGCCATATATATAAGCAAGGATTTGGCGGAAAACATTTTGTTTGCATGGTTTAAGCTTTTGTAAGATGAAATCTATAGCACTTTAAAAGCAGAAACATCCAGCCTCCCACAGAAGTTAATTCGGGGAAAGTGAAACATAAATTCCGTGTTCTTCAGTCGACTAAATAAATGGATCCCCACTGTCATATAATTTTTGTTTGAAAATGATAGTGATAATATATTTACCCTCACAACAATTCTGACTGGGTAAATATTCTACAACAGCAGCATGATGCTTTGATATAAGAGAAAATTACATCATATGTTCAGTAGATACATGGTCACCAAGGGTGTAAGTGGTGAAAACTGCATTATCCCAAATATTTGTAAGCAGTTTTGATTTAAATTCTAGATTCTATATGGATCCGAAAAAAAAAGGCCCTAAGATGTCATCCGCTGTGATTTATGTGATAGGTGATTGTGGAGATGCACATGATTTCTGGTATGTCTACAATACATTTTGATAGGCATTTCCTGATGTACTTTAAAAAATGTGTTAAATAATCTAAATTATATACTTGTATAACCAAGAATACACATGATTTTTACTGGTTTATGATAAAATGCAGTTACATCTCTGTTTGTTTTACGTGTAACAATGCTATGGTCATACCCAGGGCTGCCATACAACTCTTTTGGAATAAAATGAATTTCATGAGAGAAAAATCTCGGTAGAACTTGAAGTCCAACGGTTTGGGAAATAATATGGCCCGCACCAGTTCTCCTTTTGCAGTTCTGAACCCTGAAAAATATCAAAGACTTTAAGACATCCCTACTCATTCAAATTTGTCACTACATATCATTTAAATCCTTATTTTCTTTTATGGTTCAAATAGTTTAGAATAGTTTCTAAAAAAGATTTAAATGAAATTAAAAATTGACAAACACATCAAATTAAACAAACATTTGCTCATGAAATTCAAAATTGAAAAAACAGTCCCACCTGTGCAATGGAGTACGACTGCAAAAAACTTAGAATTCAATAAACTTGGTCTGTAGTATGTGTGTGCCTGACCAAGCCTCTTGTCAAAAAACAATAGATACAGAACAACCTCTTGGTGGGTGTTTGGTCTTTGACACCGGCACACTAATAAGAGAAGACAATTAATAGATGAATTCAAATAATGTTCACTATCTGATTAATCTAAATATTTGAGCATTTTCTAGCAAATTGAGATCCTTTCATTTCATAACATCCATTAAACTGATGACGCTGATCTGAAAAATTTTGATGAATTACAGTGTACCTTTATGAAATGCTTTCACATTCAAGGTACAGTTATGAATACAATCAAAACGAAATCCGGAAATTGGTAAAATGATATTTCAGCTACTGGAGATGGGGATTTTGAATAGTGAAGAACATGAAAATACTGTATACAGGGTTATTTTCACCCAGTGTTATTTTCGCCCTTTCACATTTGAAAACAATTTTGTCCCGTTTTATATTCGCCCAGTCACAGTTTTGTTTACAAAATTATACTATGTTCTTTGAGTTGCCCGTTTTAAATTCGCCTCACAAGAAGAAACAAACAATCCGGTTTGACGATGATTTCCCTGTATACAGTATTGATGTTAGCATGAAAGATTCAATTTAGAGCCAAAATGGATTACACATTAGAAGTTGGATTAGACTGTAGGAGTGCTTTACCAGTGAGCATGCTCTCGTTGACAATACAGGTTCCTGTGACCAGCACAGCGTCACAAGTCATGACACAGCCATGCTGGGGAATAGCAATCACATCCCCAGGAACCAGGTCCCCCGTGGGTACATCCTCATAAACCTCCTCCCCACGACAAACACTGATGGTCTGAGCATGTGTGGAAACCATGTCATGAAGGGTCACACTTTGCTGCAAGATTGAAAAGATATTTCATTTTAATTATTAATGCTTGAATGTTTGAATTCCACACATTGTGAACTAACAAATTAACCCAAAAACAGTTCTTTGCAAATTAATATGAAAAGTTGTCACAGTAACATTATATTGTATGATGGTGAAAACTGACAGTAGGGACCAAGTTTTATACTCACTCGTTTGGTTTCATACAGGGAAATTCCAACTGACACCAAAGATATAAATAGAATACAGGCAGCATAATAATAGTACTGGTCAAAAAGCCACAGAGTGATGCTTGCAATCTGGAACACATAGAATGGGTTCATCACCTGTAAAAAAAAAAGTCAGTATTACTTTGATTGGTTAAAGCCTTGTCTGCCAAAAACCTGTTCAAAAGGTACTGTACTGAAGAGGAGACATTAGGAATATTGTACGTCATGTTACATATATGTAGATTTTTAAGGAGATTTGAAACTTCCAAGAATTAGAGAATTCATGAAATATGTTGGCACAAGTGTATGATCTTTATAGCCTGCAGTTTACCTCCTCAATAAAGAGTCTCCAGTAAGATTTCACCTCCACCTCTATTGTATTTTCCCCATAAACAACTTCTCTGAAAGATGCAATATTAGAATTTATTACATACTTAGTAATAAATACAGGTTTTTTGCATATGCGATATGGCTGACGTCACAATAGCCGTATCAACCCTGTAGGGCTGATATGGATTTGCGTGGCTGATAATCTATATCAGCCCTGCAAATCCATATTAGCCCTGCAGGGCTGATACGGCTATTGTGACGTCAATATCACACCCTTAGTAAATTAAACCACAATAACAGTACTTGTGATCATACACAATTTTTGGTGGGTTCATATTCTCTTAATTTTAACTTTTTGAAAATAAGGTTAATCTTAATTTACAAATACATTTAATAGATTATTTTTAAATTACGGATAGAGTGCATTGAAATAGGAGTAGAAACAAACCCAAATCGTTTGAGACAATAGACCATGTACATGTATGTAAGATTTAGTCCATGCATGATTATTACTTATTTTCTTCTCAACTTCTCAACTTAATGTGTTCTGTATTTTATTACTAAGTATGTAATAAATATAATAAAACATCCCCCTTCCCACATCGCATCCTGTATCAGCCCTCGACCAATATCAGCCCCTCGGGCCTTCGGCCCAGAGGATGTATACAATTTTTGAAATAAAAAAGAAAAGAAAGTATCTGTCAAAAAAAAAATGATAAAAATAAGTAAAGTATATACAGGTAATTTAGAATTTCATACTGCTCTTTTGATCTCGGCCATGGTACAGTGTATCAATCTAACTCCAGAGCTGAGTACATCCAAGAGCTGATTCCTGAAACCTAATTCATTTTTCTAAAATCAAAACCAACAAGAGAACAAATATATTGAAAGACATTAATTTTTTCAATAAAGTGTTGTAATTAAGACTAATTTTCTTCATTTTTCTTCGATGTTAATCAAGAAGGTGCTCGACGAAGGTGACTGATCATGAAAAAAGGTTTTGCTTTATTTTAGTCGTGAAAAGAATATTCCTTGTGGTTTGAAACATATACGAGGGTCTCTCGAAAAGTTCGTGGACTCCTGTCAAATATTTTTTTATTTTACGTCATATCCATAACTTGTGCTTACAAATTATAATGATGTCATATTCTTAGCCACGAAGGCGTACTGTTACAGTCTATATGCATGCATAAAATGATTTTAAATCGGGTTCAAAAATATACAAGCACTTTGAAATTTCAAATTTAAATTTATTATTATTATTAAATTATGATGTAAAACACTTTTTTATGTAAGATTAACAGTCATTCATATATACTTAAATGTAAACATCCACAAAGTATATATAGAAACAGTCTCAAATAAAACAGCGATTTAGTTCAAATGTATTTTTTTTATTATAAAAAAACCTTCCCCTGGATTGATTGATTGATTGTATATTGTTTAACGTCCCTCTCGAGAATTTTTCACTCATATGGAGACGTCACCGTATGCCGGTGAAGGGCTTCAAATTTTGACCTTTACTCGGCACTCAGGGCCATTGAGCAGAGAGGGATCTTTATCGTGCCAACGCCTGCCGCTGACACGGGGCCTCGGTTTTTAAGGTCTCATCCGAAGGACCCGCAACTTTCACTTCAAAGTCCCGAGCGCATGGCAAAGGAAGAGTTGCTACCCATTTTATCGACTGGGTCAGTCGCGACCGAGATACAAACTCATGACCTCCCGATCACGGAGCGAGCGCTCCACCGACTGAGCTACCGTGAATGGTTCTTCCAATGGAAATAAAACAACAAAGTAATCAAATGAGAATTTAATCAATTAACTACATGTTTGTGAGGTACACCAATTAAAACCTTCACAATACACAAGTTTAGAAAACATAGAATTAATACCCACAAAGAGATAAATGAATACAGTCATTGAATACAACACGATATCCATTGTTTCTCTCATTCCAAAATTACGCATACTTGTATGCTAATAATATTTGCCAGATATACATATTTAACTTATTACGATATGATGAATCTTGAAAAATTACATCCATTACAGCTAAAAGTCTTAAGAAATATTACATGAAAAAAAACTATTAATACTTAGCCAGAAACCGAAACTACAAAAGACATTGTACTGTCTTTACTGCAAAAAGGCAATTACTGGTCTACATTTTAAGGCTATATTTTAGTATCTTAGGTATTTATTGGCTTAGAATAATCAAACTTTGTGAGTTGATGCGTCTTGGGTTTTCGGAGAGTGACGACCAAAAAGTAGGTCACGGTGACCTACTTTTGACATTTTATGGCTTTATTTAAGTATCTACGGTACTTATTGGCTTAGAATCATCAAACTTTGTAAGTTGATGAATCTTTGGTTTTCCGAGAATGATGTCCAAAAAGTAGGTCACTGTGACCTACTTTCGACATTTTATGGCTTTATTTAAGTATCTTAGGTATTTATTGGCTTAGAATCATCAAACTTTGTGAGTTGATGTATCTTAGGTTTTCGGAGAGTGACGACCAAAAAGTAGGTCACGGTGACCTACTTTAAATATTTTATGGCTTTATTTAAGTATCTACAGAACGTATTGGCTTAGAATCATCAAACTTTGTAAGCTGATGCATCTTGGGTTTTCGGAGAATGATGTCCAAAAAAGTAGGTCACGGTGACCTAATTTTTGACATTTAAGGCTTTATTTAAGTATCTACGGTACTAACTGGTTTTACTTTGTTTGTTGATGCATCTTTGGTTTTTAGAGATTGTTGACCAAAAAGTAGGTCATCGTGACCTACTTTTGAATATATCAAGGACTTATTGGCTTAGAATCATCAAACTTTGTTAGTTGATGTATTTTGGGTTTTCATAGAATGTAGACAAAAAAGTAGGTCACGGTGACCTACTTTTAAAAATCAAATACTTATTGGCTTAGAATCTTCAATCTTTGTTTATTAATGCATCTTGAGTCTTCAGAAAACTTCAATCTTAATATAGGTCACTGTGATGTACTTATGGTTTTTTATAGCTTTATTATTTAAAATATTTTCAGTCCTAATTGGCTAAGAATCATCAAACTTTGTCAGATGATGCAACTTGGGTATTAGAATACTCAGGGTTAGAGGCTTCAAATAGAAGTGATAGATTAATTGTACAATTTATCAGAAGAGCGATTTAAGGCCCTTGGGCCTCTTGTTTCATAATAATTAGGCTTAATATTTTTATTGGAATATTGAAAACAGTCAAATCTTTGCATATTTATTGCAAAATATGTCAAGTTATTATCTGCCAAGTTTCGTTGGTTTTCTGCAAATAGCGCGCTCACAATAGAACTTGTCCGCGAACTTTTCTAACAACCCTCGTATATACTGTTTTCCGCGATTCCCTCTTAAATTTCGTTTGCGGGGGCTATAAATATTTGTCGAATAAAAAAGTAAAAATAGAAGGTCACAATGGCAATATGTAATGTTGATTCTATGAATGTTTTATAAATGTAAGAGGAGTTGCAGATAAGAGATGGGTACCCAAAAGAATAACAGACGGACGGACGGAGGTACAGGATGCTCATTAACAAATAGTTGAACTTTAAAATTGTTATAAGATTTCTTTTATTTTCGAAAATTCTTCTTAATCTTGATCTTTCGAATTTCTTCTTTTAATTGCTCATGCTCTAATACTATGGTTTTTATTCAAGGTTCAGAAGTGGGGTTTTTTCTTTTCTTGTATTGCTTACCTCTATCGGCAAGATTCCAGGAAGTTTAAAAGTATAAAACAGATAACAGGTTCCAGGAAAATAAAATCATCTTATGTTACTGTGGTTTCATCAATATTCGTTGAGCACCAATTTTCGTGGTTTTGGTGGTTGAGCCGAATCACGAATTCAAATGTTCATAGCACAGGCCTTTAGATCGCTTAGAAAAAAAAATTGAGTTGTTGAAAAAAAAATAAAGGTATGGAACTCTTTTCATGGGGTACCTACTTTCGCCAATAAAATTCTTTTAAATCAAATGCTTTACAATTCTACTTTCTATCCATATCTATTCAAATATAAACAATCTTCATTACTACCAAAGTTCATTCCGTAATTCCTTATACTTCTCGAGATATTCTGAAATCAATTCCCAAATTGACAATAATTTTTTTACTCGACGTCAGCTTGGGCCTTCACTAATTGTAAAGCGGGAACGACGGGACAAATTTTCCCGGAATTTATTCTAAACTCAATGAATATTTGCTCATTTGCATTCAAGCTTCACAAGGTTTTTCTTTAATTTGATCATATGGTGTAACTAAGTCATAAACAACCTTTTAGCGGTCTAATTGTTTTGAAAATCAAAAGGTATGTAATGCATTCCGGGAAAAATTGGTTCTACCATGGCTTCATTCACATTTATAATCAACATGGCGGTAGTTGTTGATGTAGACGTTTTCAAATTAATTTTTCGCGAAAGGAATATTATTACGGACTTAACATTACAATCTGGAGTAAGAAATCAACTCTAAATTGTTGAAAGACTACTATAGCAAATACTATGCAACTCTTCGCCGCACTTCAAACACCATCTGTTTACATGTGAATGGCCAGGGGCCCAAGCTAATGTCGAGTAAAAGAAAGTAGGTCATTTTTGAAATTGATTTCAGATTATCTCAAGAAATATACGGAATTTCGGAATGAGCTTTGGTAAAATTGAAGAATGTTTTACTATGAATAGATTTAAATAAAAAGTAGAATTTTACAGCATTCGAATAAAAAATATTTTATTAGCGAAATAAGGTACCCAGTGTAAGAGTTCAGTACCTTTATTTTTTTTACACACACAATTTTTTTTAAGCGATCCAAAAGCCTGTGGTTCATAGTATTACGAAATATGACAAACGTTTGTATACACTATGCTTTTGTAAACGAAATTACGTACTATCGAAAACGTTTTTTTATTACAAAATCCACGAAAATTGATACTGACGAAAATTGATACAACCACAGTAATCTATCACGACTGAAATAATTGGAATGAATAAACTTGTACACATTATCTTTTAGTTAACTTAATTTTTAGGGGATAATTATTTTCCTTCACAGAGAAATGGAAACTATAAGGAAAACCTGGATTTCACAATATACATGTATTGTTTTTTTTCTATTCAATTGTAAAAGCAAGGAGTTTATTTTTACTGTAAAACTATTGCTTATACAAGCAAGAGTAAATAATCGTAATGCTATTGTGATGTTATGACTGGAAGTGTTCAGTGCATTTTTGACAGGAGCTCTCTAGCAGAGTATGTGTGCCTTGAGTTAAAATAGACGGGAAGTGCTGAAAGGAGGTCAAGGACTGCTTAGGTCGTGAAGGGCCATCATGTAAGACAGCATTGTTCTTTTCCATTGACCACCAGATGTTTTGGCCCTTTTTAGGAAATCTTCAATCCTTTGGCAATGGGTCTGGAACAAGCACGGAGGAAATAGTTCAATTGGAAATTTGGTTTCTTCGAACTTTGGCAGTAATTTAACCTGCTGGATTATCATTGTTTCCTGTTTTCTGTAGCCCTCTCCTCTGTCTGTCTGCTGTTGTGCATTCAATCTTACTATTGCATTCTCGATAACTCTTCAACACTACCTATTGGATTTAATCAAGGAGATTCTCCTTAAGTCTCCAAATGACCGTTCCTCCTGCTCTAGAACTAATGAGCATAGACAGAATATCCTATAAGTTTGGGGAGCATGAACAGTCATACAATGTAAATGACACCCATAGAATTTCTGTTCGTCACTTTCTTTGGATTCCCAATGATTTTCTTGCAAAGGAAGCTGTAGAGGAAACACTGATTGTAAAGCCGCAGAATTTGTTTTGCTGTTCCCTGACTGCAGCTGCTGTAGCATATTGAAATTACTTCTACGAGTGAAGTTCAAAGTTGAAGAATCTCCTTTGAAATTTTTCTCTTCTAAACCTTTGGTTTGCAAATTTGGCTAAATTCACTGCATCTGGGCCCTTCAATTGATTTTTATCTCCAACTGTAACACTTGAAAATTCTTCAAATTCTGACTGGGTCTTCTTAATTTCAATATGTACTGGTCGTTCAGTAATTAAGTTTTCTACAAGATTTATCGGGTCATATAGTGGTTCACAGGGGGAGGGGGATCATAGTCGGATTGTATTGGTATAGAAGAATCCTGACATAAAAGTGCAGGATGCCTTTGGATACCATGTAGGATATTTGTTCACGTTTCCTGCATTTCTGTCTTTGTTTTACAATAGGTGTCGACGAGAGATTTTATTTAACATATTGGCCTACTTTGAAAGTCAAAGAGATGCAATTTTGAGGACATGCATTCCGCCTGAATTCACTTCCATGATGGTTGTCGCAATTGATGCCTAAGTAAAATGGAATTCTTCATAATGTCCCTAAATGAACTTCCTTTCATTGATGATAAAATATCAATAATTTAAATATAACGTAATCTTATGGCTGTATAACTGCATATACGTACTATGTACTTTTGGTTAATAATTTTTATATTATCTAAATAATTTACCTATGCAAGCTCCTTTATCTGTCTAAATTGTTCCTTGATTATCTTCTACATCATTTGAAAATGGATCGATTTCTTCTTCGCTGTCAGGAAATGGTTTTACTTCTGTTTCCATGTCATCGTTTTTGTTTTTGCTTGAATTATAACTGTGTATCCCCCTGTAGATGTGTGAACATATAACGACTGCAAAATAATATGCATATATACATAGCCTAACTTTTTTTTAAGACAAAAATCCAAAACAATATATGTATATGACACTTACCTGTATTCCGATATGAGAAATTATGGTTTCTTTAGGATTCCTTTTCAAGCTACCAACTGTTGATGTCATGTTTATCTATACACTTTCATAAAGTAAATCAGTTCATTGTACACATTTTCTTAAGCATGCACACCTTAAGAATAGGCCTAATTTTGGTTTACGTTAACAGGAGGAGATGGCCATTCTATGTGACAGGATGTTCATTGTTGGTGAGAGGGAGCTCCTGGATCTCATAAAAAGAAGTACATGTAAAGAATGCAGAGAGGCTATAATACCTTCTAGTGTAATTGAAGGGGAGAAAGTGGCGGCAGGAGTAAAATATAAGTAAAGGTGCATGGTGATGGTGTCTTATTTTAATTTACTTTAACCAATAATCTTAAAATGGCTCAGTCTTATTTTCTTTATCATATATGTCAAACATGTTACAAAACTGTTTAGGATATACATACGAAAACGAGAATTTTATTTCATTTTTTACAGAGAGGACATGAAAGAAAATGGATATCATCCCCATTTTATGGAGGAAGGTGTGCAGTAGCCCTTCTCTTACAATTGAAGGTCCTTCTGTCTGGAGGCTCTTGGGAGCATTTTGCCATAGGTGCAAGATTGCCTGTGAGGATTTCTTAAAGGGTGACGTTAGAGTTGACGATAAGAGACACATCCTTTTTGCAACTGCCCTTCAGATGGAGCTGATACCATCGGCAAAGAAGAAAAGATGGTACCTTCAAGATTATTTGACAACCATTTCAACAGCTCTTCTCCATCCATGGGTTCATCTAAAAGGACGAATGTTTGAGGCAGGTTCGCTCCTGTTTATCCTCATTATAGAAGACACCGAAAGAAGGGCTACTTAGCTGTAAGAGCTTATTGTCAGGGTATTAATTATTTGTGAAACAATTTTTTATTTTAATTTATGAAATATTAATACACATAATATATATCAATTCCTATTTAATATAATATTGGAATGTTATAAAATATAAATAAACAAGAAAGATAACCTTAGATACCTCACACACAAGTTAACACCTAAAGAAAAATAAACTGAGACAAATTTATCATGGTGTTTTATTGTTCACAATACGGAAAACAAATAAAAACTGTAAGTTAACAGAAGCAAAAACTAAAATATAATATATGAATAAAGAAACGATGAATTATATAGCGATTCCAGGAGTTGCAAATCTGTATATGCAATTTATGTAATAAATTGTTACAGTTAGTATAGTTTATGCTGACAACTATTTTGTGACCTGTGGTGAGCCTCTATTATTTAACCAAAGCTAATGCCCGTATGTTACCTCTTAGCAATGCTGAATTTTGATTGGCTGTAAGATAGCGTCTTTTCTTTATGTAACTGTAGCCTGATAGAAGCGCAAAATCAGAGAAATTTTTTAACGAAATTTTTGTTTTCCCACCCTCCTCCCCTAAAGGACCCCACCTTTGCCAATTATTTGAACTTATCTGTTAGTCCCATACATGTTACTTTTTAAGTTTACATATGTGTATTTATGTGTGTAAATTTGTGTGTATGTCTGTCTGTTTTTCGAGACAGATTCAAAGTCAATTTTTAACAGCTATGTTCATTGTATGAAAAATTAAACTCTTGAGTGTTTGGTTTTGAAGTACTGATTGCATTTCGTACATTCTTTTGTATTTGTTTGTTTTTGTGAACGTATAATTGCATGTAGTTTTAGGAATATTTTGGTTATATTTATTTGTTTCTACTACATGTTTGGATTGTTGATCAAGATTTATTTGATCAATAAATTACAATTTCAACATATATGGTGTTTATGTTATGTTGAGGTAAAGGAAGGAGGAGGCATTAATATGCATAAGCTGTATATTTTCATTAATTGTTGTAATATGTGCAATTTTTTTGTATATATCAAGAATATGAGCCTTTCACAACTTCTAAATGGAATTTTACTTTAATACTGTCATTGTTGTGAAATTAAACAGAACGAAAGGAATCCATCACAGAAGGCGTACGGCTCTGTACAAGGACCTTTTACATATGCAACTAGAAAACTGACAAGTCAGCAAGGGCCCCGCCATGGGGTAGAATTAATAGGTCGCAGCTTACGGAATGATTAAATAGTGTACGAAGAATAAGCAACAGCAACTGTATTCTTTTAATTTCAAGATAACTCTTGAATATTCAAAAACCTGAAAATAATATCTTTGTACTTACATTAGGCAGTAAAGAACAACTTAACATTGAATGTATATTTAAACAATAATGAAGCTTGAGTTATATAAAATGCCAGGCTTCAATGAATGCAAATATCATGAAGGCTTGACCTTAACTTCAAACAAACAGCAGTTGCAGACAAAGGTTTTCATTAATCTAAGACAGATAAAAAAATCCTTCTAAATTTTCTGCAGCAGGCTAGATAATATTAATCCCAAGGGATTAATTGACTTCCTCTCTCATCATTTTCTTCTAAAGTTACAATAAGAACTTTTTCAGTATTAATGATAGAATGGGGTTTTTATACAACTATCCTAAAAATTATTAATATTCTTAAATTAACATAAAGTGAAAAAAGCAAATCAAAAAAATCTTCTTTTATCTATTTCTTGTTATTAGAATTCAATGAAATCATAATTATATTAAACATAAATAAATTATAAAAAATTAAATTTTAATCCACATTTTAGAGTGTCAAAGCATTCCAAATTGACTTAACTTCAAAACAAACTTATTTGTAGACAGAGGTGGTAATTCATCTAAATTTGACAGATAAAGATAATGCTCTGGATTTTCTTCAGGAGGAAAGCTAATTATTCCCAAGGGAGTCATAACAGGATTCAATTTACAATGGGGACATCTTCAGCAGTTATCTCTCTTTGCCAGTGCTTTGGTATATAATGTTAAGGAATCTACTCCACCACCTCAGCTCCAATCCAGGGGACATAGAGAACCAAACTCAGCATCAAAATATGTATTTCTGCCTACTGAACTACCATACCAAATTTTTACTTTATTGGGCAACCATAAAAAAAGTTGTCCATTCATTTTTGCATAGTTAAGGAATCTACCCCACCACCCCAGCTCCAAACCAGAAGACATAGAGAACCAAACTTAGCATTAAAATATGTATTTCTGTCTACTGAACTACCATACCAAATTTGAACTTGATTGGGCAACCATAAAAAAAGTTATTAGTAAAAAACAGAAATTTTGTGGACAGAAGAGTGACAGACGGACAGAGAGAGTGATTACTTTTAGCCATCCGCAAATTCTTGCGGGGCCCTAATTAGAAACAGGATGGGAAGGACTTATAATCTTAAGATCCAAAGACAAAAAAGGCAGTGAGTTGGGGGAATGATGCAGAGCTTGAGAAAAAGTTCTAAAACAAGGAAGTCCTTGTTGAGAACTTGAATGAAATCAAGAAAAAAAGGACATGCATAAAGTTGACAGGTCAAATGTCATGCTTAAGCTTTCTGCGGTAGGAAAGTGGATGGAATCTGTCCAGGAAATCTCCAAATCCATCACCATCGAAGATTCCTCGGCATGCAAGACACTTGCTTAAAGAACAATAAAAAAATGGGTATACACATTGCAGCATCAAAGTTATAGGAAATCGTATATTGTGAATTGTTAATCATTTATGCCTTGAATAAATTTGTTTTATTCTTCAGTTTGCAGAGGGAGTTGTACTAAATACATCTTTACATCTCGCAACTCAGGAGGGCAATGTGCAGGAAATGAGGGGATATATATATATTTACACTGGCTCCTGTCGAGATTTCACTACTTCTTCTGCTCAACTGTCTATTAAACTTGACCACATAGGAGCAAAGCTAATTTACACGGAAGACAAAGACATCAGAGGTGGGATTAGATACCAAGGAAGAAGGAGCATCCCTTTTTGGCCTTTCATGTTCGGGTAATAGATGATGAATCCATCGACTTTTTAATGTGTAAAGATGGCCTGGTAATCTTTTTCACGCTTATGTAAGCATTTGAACAACGAGTGCCATTGCTTTTGCTGTATTATTAATATTAATTTTTGGAAATATGATCAAAGTTAATTTCACAATTTTGTTATTATACTGTAATTGAATTCTGATATTGTATAGTACTTATATGTAGATTTATATGATTTATTTGATAGAAGTTGAGAAAAATAATTGCTGGTTAATCTTCACAGCGTCATCAGACAATGTCACAACCTTAGGACAACATTATTCTGACCAGCCTTGGTGGTGTTTCTCAAGAATGAGCAAGGCCTTGACTGTTCTGTAGGCAGTGTCTAAAAACACAACGTATGTGGTTCCAAACTGCGTGCCGTTAGCAAACCGTCTCATCGGATGTTTTTCATAACATGAATTGTCATTTTAGGGGTCCCTTCAAAATAAATATAAGAATTTAATTTACGTTATTTTGAATGTTGCATTTTCTTGTGAGAAGTGATTGTTTTTAACTTTTATTGTACCACATTGTATTAAATCTTTTTATTGTGTTGGCACTGTTCTTGGTGTAAATCGGGAGTTGATTCAAACATGTTTAATTATAGGGGCTTACAGTACTGTACTTGCAACGCGGATCCCGTATTTCCCATGCTCCGTCGAGATATAATCACAACGCCGTATTTGGACAGGTGAGACAGGTAAACCGCGTTCCCTCTGCGGGAATTTAATCACTTACCTGTCCTGGCGCGGTAAAATCATTTTTGTCAGATTCCCAAACTATGTTTACAAATGTTTGGAAAATTATCATAAATTCAGGTTTTAATATTTGAATTCCAACACTAAAAGTGACTGTAATAAAAAATTGTTTAAATTTTACAAACTCACTCAACATGACCTTATAAGTACTAATGTGTCAAAAAAGAGGCCAATGGGCCAAATTACTCATCTGAGAAACTTGGGAAGGGGGGGGGGGGTTCAAAATTTCATTAATTTTCTTTTTATTTAGAATTTACAATACCCTAGGATGCTTCAACAAAAGTTTCAGCTTTTCTGGCCCAGTGGTTCTTGAGAAGATGATATTTGATATTTCTATGAAAAACGCGGATACCCTGTTGTGGCCCATCCGAGGGGGTCATGATTTGAAC